GTGAGGGGGCAGCCTGACGGGAGCCTGCCCTCCCCTCCTCACAGGGACACGTGCACTGCGGCCTGAAGGCGGCTGAGCCCTTGCCCACGGGTCCGCCCGCCTCCTGCTGCCAAAGCGGAGGACACGGAGGCAAAGGGGCACGCTCTGCAGGTGTTGCTGCCCCCTCTCCTGCCACCCTCTCGGTCCAGGCCACTCCTGCCTGGGTAGGGAACAGCAGGTGAGGTTCAGAGAGTGAACGTGTGATGGCGGCCTCAGTCTCCCCGTCTGTGAAACGGGGACAGGGGCCATGGGGCAGCGCCAGGAGGATCCAAGGGTATGGGGGCCGGTGGCAGGAGCCCAGCCAGGCACCCGGGCCCGGGGCTACGGGGCCGGCGACAGCGGCCGGGACGCAACAGCTGCCTCCAGGAGAGGGCCTGTCGATGGTAGATAGTCCGCCCGGGAGTGTTATTCCCGAGCCCGGCAAGCCCCAGGAACGTCTGGTTGGCATAGAAACAGGAGATAAGGGGTACAATTAATGGCATCGTGTTCCCTCCTCCTTTCTTCCCCAACTGACCCATTTAAATCCCTGGCGGTGCTGGTGCCATGCTGGGCTCCCAGTGACCTCTGGGGAGGGGCTGGCTAGGTGGGCGGGATGAGACTGGGGCTCAGGGCACTGGCAGGGCTGGATGAAGCCTCCTGGGACCCCATCCCCCTACCCTGCGCAGAAACATCTCCGGAAGGAGGTCACAGGAGACTTGGCAAGGGCAGGGCTGGGGAAAGACCCCTGGGCACCTCTGCTCCCAGAGGCCCATTTCACAGGTGTGGAGACTGAGGCCGGGGAAGCCCAGAGGCAGACAAAGGCAAGAGACTGTGGGAAAGCAGCGTGATGTCCACAGCGGGGCCAGACTGCCTGCCTTCCAACTCTGGCTGTCATTTTCTTGGGTGAGAAACTTAACTTCTCTGTGCTTCAGTTTCCCCAAGATGTAAACGGTAAGAACAGGACCTGCCTTAAGATAACACGTGGCCTGGCACAGAGTAAGCCCCGTGAGTATTAGCTACTATAGATATCATTATTACTATCTAACGAGCAAATGAGCCGTCTGTCTTCCCTCAGGCCCAGGAATGCAGGAAAACCAGCGTGAAGGCCCAGCCCCAGGGCCTGAGAGCTCGGCCCTGGCTGCCGCCCACCAGAACTCTGCTCAAGGCCAGGTTCAGGGAATGGGGGCTGGGAGCCAGTCTCTGCGTCTCTAAGGCCCGGGTCCCTGGCTCACTGTAGCTTGGCCCCCATGCCCCCAGGGCTCTGAGGAGGGCGCGGAGGCCAGCTGAGGGCAGCCATGGTGCCCGTCCACCCCCGGTTGGCAGGCAAGGTCACACCTGATTTCCAGAGACGGGAAACTGAGGCTGCAGAAGGCACAGCCACCTGCTCGTGGGGCTCGAGTTACGGGCAGCCAGGCTGCCAAAGCCCCGTGTTTCCTTGCTTCTCTGCCGTCACAGTGGGGTGGTGGGTGCTGCAAGGTGACCCCTGGGAACCAGGCAGCTTCCCAGGAACCTCCCACACCTGGCAGGGGGAGGTGCAGCGCTCTGTGCAGATAATCCTCTCAAGTTCATAAGAACTGAGAGACCACCTCACCCCCCTTCCGGCCCAACCCAGTCTCCCTCCGGAACCGGCCCTCACCAGAGGCACGGCCAGCCTCCAGGTGGGCGTCTGCCTGCTGCGGAGAGCGGGCAGGTGGCTTAAAGCTCGGAGTGAATGAGTCATCCTGTGGCCACCAATAATTTGCTTAACCAAGCTCCGAGAACGTGTGAAAAACACCTCCGTCTGCAATGGAGCAGCTGTTCGGGCTGGGACTTCTTCCGGGAGCCCCTTGCCTGGCTGGCCTCGACTTCCACTTGGCATCTGGAGCCATGGTCCCCAGGGGCCCTCCCACTGCAAAAGGGCTCTGTGGTCCCCTCAGCATCCCCAGTGTGACCGGGGGGCTTGCTCCTGTCCCCACTGTCCAGAGTTGGAAACTGAGGCTAGCCCACTGTCCCTGGAGGCACCCCCAACAGCTGGCCTCTTCCTGACCTCCTCTGGAGGTCTCCCCTTGCAGGCAGTGCCCCACCTGCCCCCATCCACCCCCACCTCCCCGGTTTCCGTACTGCTCTCTGCCAGCCCCTGGTCAGCTCACCCCTCCCCTGGCTCCCCAGGGCAGTGGCTTCGACCCAGTACTCGCATTCAGCAAGTGCTCAGTGAAGACCTCCTGAGTGAATGAAGGCAGGTCTGAGCAGACCTTCCCTTCTGATTTGGGGGACCTGCTCAAAGAGATGCCAGCACGCTGTGTTCCCCCCAACCTCGGCTCGGCAGCAGAAGCCACTTCGATTCTTTTTTCAAGAAAACTCCACACAGGTTACACTTACCACTTGACAGGAAGAACACCAACTTGATTCAAGGGGGAAAACACCCTCTCTCCTTCTGGAGGTGACACCCCTGACTCTGCTATCTCACACCATCTAATAGGAATCAGGGCTGGGTGTCCTCCCTCCCCTCCTCCCCGCTCCTGGCCGGTGCAAAGTCAGTTTTCTTTCATTTTGACGGACTGTACCACCCGCAGGGGGAGGATCAACTTCCTGGCAATGAAGTGTGTTTGGGATGAAAACTCGCCCAAACGGACCCAGGCACGCACGCCCCTCCACCCCTCCCCGGCAGGTCGGAGGCCCCCCACTCGCCCCAGCCGCGACGCCCCCGCGCTGTTGTTGCCTCGAACCCGGCGGGGCCTGGTGGCCATAGATAAGGGCTCTTATCGCTTTGGGAGATCGCCATCCGGCCGACCGGCCCGGCGCTTATCTGAGCTCACATCGACCCGGGCGGGAGGAAACCTCGGCGGGCCAGGGCGCCGGGGGTCCCGAGCTGCGCTCCGCCCCGCGCTCCCCGCCAGCGCGGCCCGGCCTATCGTCGCAGCCATCTGGCCGGCCAAGGCCGCGCTCCCGCCTCGCCCTCCCCCGCTCCCACGTTTGAAGTTAATAAATGGGCGCGCCTATCGCCGCCGCCATCGGTTGTGCGCCTTATCAGCGCGGCACATCTATCTCTGCGCGGAACAAAAGGCGCACAGAGGCGCGGGCAGCTGCGCCCCGGCTTTGGTGGGGGCCCCGGGGGGGGCGGCGGCCCAAGCGCTCGGGCCCCTCCCCTCCACACCCGCGGCCTGGTCGCAGGTGAGGCCAGAGCGGCGGGCACACAGCCGCCAGGGCCCTACGCACAGCCGCAGGCAGAGGGCGGGCGGCAGAGGGCGGGCGTGCGGGCGCCGCCGCTTGGTGACAATCAGCGCTCGCATCTTAACGCGCCAAGATCTGCCAGGGGGAGGAGGCGCCCGGGGCCGCGGGCTGAAGGGAGGGTGCCCCGGCCCCGCCTCCCAGGGGCGGCCCTCTCCCCAGCCCGCTCACCGGGCGCGCTGAAGGTGGACAGCGGGGGCTCGCCCTCGCGCCCGCTTTGGTCCCTGTCCCCAACACGCACCGCTCGGTCGACCCAGCTGAGCCCGGGCGCTCGCTCCGCTCTGGGCCTTATCGGCTCTGGCGATCGGCTCCCAACCTGCGATCTCCCTGCCCGCGCTATCTGCATTTCTCATCACGCTGAAACACATACACACGCACACACGAGAACAGACCGAACAGAGGCGCACAGGGGAGGAGGGGAAAAAGAAACCAGAGAACCAGCGCAGATCGGGACCTGTGGGTGGTTTTAATACTTGAGTTGACTTGATAGAAAGCGACTTTCGGAAAACAGGTCCCGCTTGCACACTGAGGAGTCGGGTTACGGGAACCCGGATTCATGCTTGCCTTCCCCCTCTCTGGGACCTCGGGAGTAGACACTCCCCCAGGAGCATGCACACAGGGTTCTGGTGGCAATGGTCATGTGGACAGAAGAGGCAGTGCGGGGGAACATGGGGCTGGGCAGTGGTCTGGCCCCCTCTTCGCCTCCTGGGCAGCCCCAGCGACCTGCTGGTCTGGCCGGGGAGATGTGGCCCCGCACTCTGGCCCTGGCAGCAGAGGCGCGAAGTTATTACTGGCGTGGGGTGGGGAGCCGTGCTTCCTGTGCACTGCCCTCTCTCTCCCTGCTCAGGCAGCCGAGGGGCCCCAAGAGTACGGGGCGCTCTTATCTCCGGGGGGCATCATCAGTGTGGACACAGCAGCTGCCTGCCCCCCCTCCCCCACCGGGGGAGTGGCCCGCGGGCCAGACGGGTGAGACACTTGGACGCGTGCGGAGGCGACCCTGGCCCAGGACTGAGTCCCAGGAGACCCCTCCCCGACCCCTCGGCTAGAGGGTGTGTGTGACCGCAAGCCACCCAGCGCACAGCGCCCCTGCAGTCCTGGCTGGGACACAGGGAGGGGAGGACCTCCAGGAGGCTGTCCCCGGGCAGGGAAGGCTCGAGTTCGAGACCCAGAGACAGGGCTGGAGCCCAGCGCGTGGGCTGAGGTAGCTACACCTCCACCCTCCAAGCCAGGCGGCTCTGCAAGCCAGCGGGAGTGGGGGTGGGCGCCGGCGGGTCTCCGCCTCTTGGCCGTGCACTTCCACGCGCCCCGGGTGCCCCCTCTCCCTCCCAGGTCTCTCTCTTTCTCCCTCTAGATACAAAGCCTGGGAGAGTCAACCGCGCGAGATAAGATCACAATTTCAGCCCGTCCCGACAGAGCGATCTTATCAGGATGGGACTTGCAGAATGGAATATTTTAAACTTTATCTGAGCCCAGATCGGGCCGCCTTATCGCCGCACCATCTCGGGGGATGCGGGGGAGGGGCAGGCCGCGAGGTGGCCGCGCCCCCAGCAACCCCGTTCCGGCCCTCTGGGCGGACACCCCCACCAGGCGGGACCCCCGGTGCCGGTGCCGAGACGCGGGGGACCGGCCCGCCAGCGGAGATTAGATTACGGCGCGCTTGGCACACAGCGTGGGGGGCGCGGCGCGGGGTGAAGGTCGCGGGCGCCGCGGGCAGAGCGGGACGGACCGGGGGCGGACCGGCGGGGGTCGGGGCCGGCGGGCAAAGTTTGACTCACGCTTGATCTGCCGGGGGTTGCTCTGTTTCCTCCTGGACATGTCTCCGGCGCCGCGCGCCCTCGTGGCGGCCGCCTCTAGCCCCTGGCGGGCGGCGGCGGGCGGCGGGGGCGCGGCGGGGCCGCGGGGCGGCTCATGCCCCCGGCCCCTGGGCTCCGCGGCCGCCC